TTAGTATTAAATAAATATTAACTAATTCAAATATACATGTATTTATTAAAAATTCAAACAATGTTTTTAATATTTTGTGCTAGCTTTCAAGTCTATAAAGCTGATCTTAACTATCGAAGTTGCATAATTCTAATCTGCAATATTATTCATTTTACTATCTATTATTATTTATTTAAGCATGTGCATATCTTTGTATCAGTTTACAAAAGATTTGTCTAATATCACATGTCATATGGAGTAGTTTTCTCAACCTTTCTTATATATCTGAATGTTGATGCATATAGTCTCCATTAACATTATCTGCACTGTCAACTGTACACTCAATACGATCAAGTACATCATTCCACCTTTCTCAATTTTATGGCAATTTATAAGAAACTCATAGAGGCACAGATTGAACTATTTAATATGGACTGACAGGTCCTGTCTGGATAGGACATAATCTACCCAGATCAAGAATATACCTATATTCTCTATACGGTCTGCCACTCTTCCTTCATGTTACATACATTTAAAATTGAACCCTGATCTCCCAAGGCAATGGGTTAAGTATATACTAATTATTATATATGATCAATTTTAATACTTTATTGACATCTACTACATATACTCAAAATTCCTATATTACAAAAGCTATGACTGTAAGTATTGATGGTATTTGATATATGTAAATCTTTCTCAATTATTTCTCAACAGATGAGGAAATAAGCATTATAATTCATACCTATTTTTACGCCCTTTGATTACAGAAAATTAAACAAAATTATTATTATTATTTTTCCTGTTTTTTAAATCTTTTAAAATGATCAATAAAAAATACACTTTATACAAATGTCGGGGCAGTTATCTTGTGATATTTCATAGCTTATCGATTTCACAGCTGGTCTAGCCTCAAATGACTAATAAGTGTTAAAGTCTTTGATATAGCATGTCTTATCAGTAAATTGGATTGCATTTTATTTTCAATGTGATAAGGCCAAATACAAAACTCAAAATGTGCTTAGATTAAGAAGGAAATAATTGATCGACCAATACTCTATAGGGAAGCTAGCTACACTACAATATACTGTTCGTACTGGGTGAGCTTTCGACGTTTGGGCCTTTGTAGCGCCTCATGGCCCAGAGTCAGGCAGACGGGCTCCGTCTTGTAAACTCCCTGATCCTGCAGCACGGCGTGAGGCGCACAGCGCCACGGATCCTCTGTGTCCACCTGCCACTTGAAGAGCTTCTGGCGCAACTGTTTCAGGGTGGCGCTATACTTCGGCTTGTCCGCCAGATTGAAGCGCTCCAAGGCATCCGCCTTGATGTCGTAGAGCTCCCACTCGGGTCGCTGGTAATACTGCTGCAGGGTGCGGTACCAGGGCGATGGCTGCTTGTTGATGGTGGCATTGAGGATCTGCTGGAACGTGGGCGATGTATAGAAGTCCTGATCGATGGGAAAGTCCGCCCAATAGTTGAGGTTGTGTATGAGCTTATAGCGCCGGTTGCGCACCATGCGCATGGGATAGGCCATGGTCACCTCGTGGTAGCTCTGGCTACCGAAGACAGCGTCGCTCTCCACAGGCTCCGGTTCCTTATAGAGCACAGGCAAGAGCGATTGGCCGCTGAAGCGAGTCCCGTTAGGCGGCGACAGCTGGAGAGCATCCAGAACGCTGGGATAAATGTCCAGCAGACTGGCCATAGCAGCGCTCGTCTCGTGACGACGTGCGTCGGCTTGGGGGGAGCTGAGAATCAGCGGAGATCGAATACCACGCTCATACAGATTGGTGCGGCCGCCGGGAAAAGGTGGGCCATTGTCCGAGGTGTATATGACGAGGGTATCTTCCGCCAGTCCGGATTGCTGCAATTCTCGCAAGAGCAAGCCGACGCCCTGATCCAGTCGTGAGATGGTCATGTATTGGGCGGCCAGCTCCTGTCTGACCACATCCGTGTCCGGCAGCCAGGCAGGCACTTCCAAGTTGCGCCAGTCATAGTAGATGGGCTTCCAGTCTGGTATCGTGCCCATGCCCTCCTCGCCGCTGCCCCAGCGCTCGCAAAACTCGCCGTACTGCGGCGTGATGTGGCCACAACGGTGCGGATCATGGAAGCCCACCAGCAAGAAGAAGCTTCTCCCCTCAGCCTTGGCTCGTGCCAGAAACTCGCGTGCGTACTCCTTGATTTTGGTAATGTTGCGACCGATCTGGTTTATCGAATGCTGCTCCTCCGTCTGCTCGAAGTCGAAGAAAAAGTTCGAGGCGGCACCGACATGCTTCTTGCCTATTATGCCGCTCAGTATGCGTCCTTGGCTCTGCTCGCGCAGCACATTGGGCAACGAGCTCACCTCGGGCAGCACATTGAAGTTGTGCACGCCCTGATGGAGCCCGTACATGCCGCTGGCGTGACTCGCCTGTCCGGTCAGCAGCTGAGCGCGGCTCGGACTGCAGCTGCTGACGGAGGTGAATGCGTTGTTGAACAGCAATCCGTTTTTGGCCAGCGCATCCAAATTCGGCGTCTGGCAGTACTTGTTCAGATAGGCGCCCATCTCGAAGCCCGCGTCATCGGCCAGCAGCAGCAGCACATTTTGTGGYGACTGCGCGCAGCGAACGCTGCCCAGCAGCAACAGCAGCAGCAGCGAGGCAAGTGGAAGGCGCAACGGCATGGCGACTCTTTCAGCTCTGGACAGGCACAGAGACAGACCAAATCAGACCATCGACTCACTCAGCCCGAGCTCAACTGATCCGCCAGCATTTTAATATATGGCACTCGCACACAGTCGACTCTCTCATCTCTCTTTCTTTGTTGCTTTCTTTCTTCGGTCACACTCATTCAATTCCAATTCCAAATCCAGTTTTAATCTCTTTCCCAGCCAGAGCTCAGCGTGTGCGCTCATGCACAATGGCCAAACGTAGCTATACAATCTACACACAAAGGCAAATCTAGATATGTGTATGTATGCACATATATATACGTATATGTACATACATATGTATGAGTTAGTATTTGTGGACTTTTGTACATTCACTTTGACCGGCTTTCGTACGGGGCATTCAGCTCTATCGTAGGATTATATCTTCATACAACCAAATTGAACTGGCTTCTATTGGCATTTGTTTAAAGTAAATTTCAATCATATTATTTTTATATAAATTCTTGTATAATTTATATTTTTGTATGCATTTATTTATATAAATCAATAAAAATAAAAAATCATTTTTAAAAAATAAAATTAAAATAAATTCAATTATTTATTTACATATATATGACAATGAATTTTATACTAGTTGGTCTACTTAATAAAGTAATATGTGTATATTAAATAAGGTCTCTCAGCTAAACCTAAAATAAAGCCATAAATCGAAACACTCTGCTCTTTAGAGAGTATATTGCCTGGAGAAGGGCAATTAGCATGGAATTGTTTCATTTCGTTTTCTGCGCATTCTCACACTTGAGCTTTATAATTAATGCGCAATTTCCCCTCAATTGTGCACTTTCTCATTTCCTCTAGTTCGTGATGCACTTCATTGAATATTCAATAAGAAATAAGTGCCTAAGAACACATTAGGTCAGTGACAATTTCTCCATTATCCCATCTTATCAATGTCAGGAGCAATAGAATATTTATTCATTTATTATGTAAGTTCAAGAGTTCACAACAAAAGGTTCTGTCGTTGCCGGGGCAATACGAAAAGCATTAGACACACTGCAAACAAAAGCTCACCAAACAATTGCATAGCAACACTTGGCAACATGCTGCACACGTTAGCTCCGACTCTAGCAACATGTTGCCTAGCGGCCATCAGCTGTGCCTGTGCTTATAACAGCCGCTGCAAAGCAGCCGGCAAAGCTCTCTCCCTCTCTCTCTCTCGCATGCATTATGCTAAATGTGAGGGATTATTGCAGTTACACCTCACCCTATATTTGCTTATTCATTTGTCATGAACTCCTATATAAATAACTAATATTATGGAATGGTTTAAAAATGTATGAATCAATAATCAAATTAAGCGCAGATTTGCTTGGCATAAAATATTAGCAGCTTGAATAAAAATGTATTCATTCTAACGAAAATTTGCTTCTAATGAGTTTCGCCCAAATTTTAATAAATTCGAATAATATGCATATTAATAAATCATTGTTAGCTGCTCAACAACAACTTTAAATATTCCCTTACTTTTAAGTTAGCTTTAATTTATACTTTGCTTCGCCTTAGCTACCAGTTGAAATTGCAAGCAGACTTCCGCCAATCCGCATATTTTATAGGACGTGCAAGGAACTTTTACTCAAGCGCTTATCGAGTCAATGCCAATGATTAATGGTGAATAATTAAAAGATAAGCTCTCTTAAGCTAACTAATTAAACTCTTTCGCATCAGCAAGTATTTGTTTTTTCAGAAAAACTTTTTTATTTTGCATTCAGTGAGAATATTTTTTTATATCACAGGATAAGTAAGTGAACCAGTTAGGTTGTTAGGTCAAGTTAATACGTGTTAGAAAAATAAAATTTCCTTTTTTTTTTCCTTTTATTCCTACTTGATTTTCATTGTGGCTTTTAGGCCATAAATTAAGCTAAGCCGTTTATTTGCCAAATTACAACAGAAATTAAAGCCCATAATGATAACGAATTCAGTTCAATTTAGTCTGAGCAGCTTGACTAGAATGTACCCTATACAGGTTATGATTGGGCAAAAAACAAACCTGAATTAATGCAAATATATTTATAAATATTATGTATTCAGCTCTCAGTCGGGCATTGCGAAGAGAAACAGAGTCAGAAAGAGATAGTGAGAGAGGGGGAGAGAGAGAGAGTATGTTTTGTTTTGCGATTGAATATTTAGGCATTAGCTAGTTCAGGGTATCAGCAAGAGTCAATGAATTTAGTCAGTGAGCAGGCAAACCTCGTGCTGATTCTTATCATATATGTATATTCATTACATATGAATGATAAAAAATAATATATATAAGATCAGCTGCTGCTGTTTGTTTTATGGACCGCTTCCCATTGTAGACTTTATTCAGTGGCAACGACTTTGTTCGGCTGCTGTTTGCACAGACAAATCTGAATACTTAAAGATATTGCAGCCTAAAGATGCGCGTCTGACATGTGAGTGTATCTGTGCGTGTATGTGTGCGTGTGCATGCTAGCATGGGAATATCTGCAGCGATTTTTCTTTTTTATTTTGGCACACACTCGACAGGCAACAACTGGTTTAGACGTTGTCATTCGCTTGCCGTCCAAAATGGATTTCGAGAGTGTTTTGGATAAATGTGGAAGCTTTAGTCGATATCAGTTCGTATTGCTGGTGCTCTACGGCTATACGAATATCTTGTCGTCCTTTCACTATTTCTCACAGACCATCATCAGCTTTACGCCGCCGCATAGGTAATACACAACCAAAATTCCATTCAAATTCATGTCAAATTTATTTATTTTTTATTTATTTGTAGCTGCATGCCTGATAAAGTTTCAGATTCGCATGGACTGACAAATATCACTCACACGGACCGCTGCAGCTACACCAAGTGGAACTCGGCGGAGTCGCGGAACGAGCAATTCAAATGTGAGTCCTGGAAATTCGAGCGCGAAAGCAATTATGAGAGCATTACCACTGAGGTGAGTTGAGCCTAAAAGTATGCAACATCCGAAGGAGCTTAACGGCTTACACTCGCCTCCTGCCATATTGGACACAGCTCGAATGGGTCTGCGATGACGCCTACAAATTGGCCGTGGGTCAGTCGTTCTTTTTCATCGGCTCCGTTCTGGGCACCATATTCTTTGGCTATCTGGCCGATCGCATCGGCAGACTGAAGGCCTGCATGCTGACGACCTTGACTGGCGCCCTGGGCGACTTCATCACCTCCTTCGTCAATTCACTGCCATTTTTCTCCGCTGGCCGCTTCATGTCCGGCCTGTCGACAGACACACAGTACATTCTGATGTACATATTGGGTGGGTCCTGAATGCAATGTTCTAGAATAGCATATACGATATTTAAGAACTTCTCCACTCCCATCGCAGTGTTCGAGTACTTGAGTCCCAAACATCGCACTTTGGGCCTCAACATCGTTTTGGCCGTGTTCTATTGCGTGGGCCTGGTCATATCGCCCTGGGTGGCCATCTGGGTGGGCACTTGGCGCAACTATCTGTGGGCTGCCTCGCTGCCGGCATTGGGCGTGCTCTGCTATCCGTGCCTGCTCTTCGAGAGCGCCGAGTGGCTGCTGACCAAGCGGCAGTTCGACAAGGCGGCGGACTGCCTGCGTCGCATCGCCAAGTTCAACCGGCGCCAGGTGGACGAGAATGTGTTTGTCGAGTTCATCAAGTACTATCACGAAAAGATAAACATGGAGCAGAAGACCACAAACGATACGTTCATGGGCATGCTCAGGACGCCAAGATTACGCAAGTTCACTATCATACTGCTCATTAAGTCGTAAGTCTGCCGGAATTAGAGATGCTTAGAGAGAAGCCTACAGCGATTTGTTTACAGCATGATCATCACGGTGGCCTTTGACATACTCAGCCGCAACATGGAGGGCATGGGCACCTCGCCGTTCTTGCTCTTCTCGTACACCAGCTTCACCTACCTGCCCGCCGGCCTCACCATCATACTCTTCCAGAACTACATCGGGCGCAAGGGCATGGCCTGTGTCTCGCTCTTTGTGGGCGCCGTCATTACGGCCGTGACGGGCTTCTTGATCGCCAACCTGGATCCCACTGAGCACTCACTGCTGCTGGCCCTAATGGTGGGCCTGGGCAGATATGGGGGCGTGGTCGCCTACGATGCGGAAGCGCAATATGCCGCCGAAATAATACCCACGAGTGTGCGGGGTCGCGGCATGTCCAATATCCACGTCGTGGGCTATGCCTTCGGCTTCTTCAGCTCGTATATCATCTTTTTGGGCACCTTTTATAAGCCGCTGCCCTCGATTTTCATCAGTCTGCTAATGTTCATTGGCTCGGCTCTATGTCTAACTCTGCCGGAAACAGTAAAGAGGTAAGCTCTACCCCAGTATAGCAATCCCATATTTACCCATGCTATTTATAGGAAACTGCCCCAGACCCTGGCGGAAGGCGAGACTTTCGGCGTGGGCGAGAAGTGGTATTACTTTCCCTGCTTCAGCCAAAAGAGAGAACTGCCCGATGATACGATTTCTGTTGCCACCATAGAAAATACTCTTAAAGCTATTTAAACTAAATATAGATCAGAAAATAAAGTTTATAACTATTGTCTAATTGTATTTGCAAACTGCATTTCTTAATCTCGATGGAATCTCGATGGAATCTCGTGTAGCAACACATTCTTTATACCTTGAATGGGCTGATCCTATTCCGTTTTTCTTTTTTCTTTTTTTTTTCATTTTCATTTAGTTTTATGGTAAAATTGGGGCAATTCAAGTATTATGATTTAATAAATGCATAAATCTCAGAAAATCTAGTAAGAAACGCCAGGAAATTAGACGCCAGAGATCATCTTTATGATTTACGGCTATCACGTCGATGCCATCGGAAGCTAATGTATGCATATGAAACATCTAATATCCCCTGGCGTGTGCTGAAAGCCGAGCATTTCACAATGTCAATAGAGTTGTAATCTATACTATATGTATGCAGTGCTCATGAGCCGAGCGCTAAACCTGTCAGATGCCATATATAGTCAGCGATAATTCTATTAAATCTGGCTAATCCGCAGACGTGACTTACAGCATCCGATACTAAATCTTGCACTAAGCACTCTTGCGAGTGCCGAAATTTTGTTAGGCCGCACAACGGACTTGCTTATTCGAGTCGCTTCAAGTTTAATGCCTGATAAGAGAACCCACCTGAAATGTACTTCTCAAAAAAGCCCCTTTAAAATATTCGGAGGCATCCCCGTTGGCAGAGCCAAAGCGCCATTCACTATGTCCTGCTATCATCGGGTATAGAAATGTTATAGAACAATAACTGAGAGAGAGAGAGAGATTACATCGGATGCTAAGTAAGTAAATTATAACAATACTATATAGTTAATATGTAATGTAGGCAATTAATGGACAGAGAGTAGCTGACTCTGGCGCTGCGTCTTAACGTACGACTTCTGTGTTTGTCCAAGTCTCACAGCTTTATGGCACAATAGAGATAGCTAAAGCCGATTCTCACCTTAATCTTGAGCGACATCCAACGCCGGCCACTCCATATAAGATAGCAAGTCAAGTGCAGAGCATCAACAATTGTCTCTTGACTGTTGTCCGCTGAGCATGTTGTTAAGGGGGAACTGTCAAGTCCTCAGCTCCTTCTCCACATAAAGTGTGCTTGAATCGCAAGAGTTTAATCCCAAAATATGGATTTTGATCGGGTGCTCGAGAAGTGCGGAAGTTTCGGACGCTTCCAATTCGTTATCTTGATATTGTACGGCTATACGAATATATTGAGCTCATTGCATTACTTCTCGCAAACCCTTATAACATTTACGCCGGAGCATTGGTAAGTATTGCCCATAAAAATGCTTGAGATCGTTGCTTATTGATTGCCATCTTTAGGTGCTCCCATGATGATCTTCATGGCCTCAGTGCAGAGTCGATACGCGCCGTTTATTCAAATGTAACGGACCCCGCCTGCACGTTACTCAGTGGCGTCGTTAATGGCACGGGCATTGCTGCCGAGCAGGAAACCTGCCAGAATTGGATCTTCGAGCGTGAAAGCGGCTACGAGAGCTTAACGACGGAGCTCCGCTGGGTCTGCGACAAGTCGCATCAGCCGGCCGTGGGCCAGTCCTTCTTCTTCATAGGCTCCGTGGTGGGCACCATAACGTTTGGCTACCTCTCCGATCGTATTGGCCGGCTGCCAGCCATGCTAATGGCCGCCTTAGCTGGGGCATCCGGGGACTTTATGACCTCATTTGTGCACACTCTGCCCTGGTTTGCGTTCTCCAGATTTGTGTCGGGCCTCTCCACCGACACGATGTACTATTTAATGTACATTTTGGGTGAGTACGCCTTCAAGAGCCCGCTGGATAGCTGAGTAACAGGACTTTACGCCGGTTTTTAGTGTTCGAGTACCTCAGCCCGAAACGTCGCACCTTTGGCCTTAACATCATACTCGCCTTCTTTTACTGCTTCGGACTGATGACCTCGCCCTGGCTGGCCATCTGGATTGGCAACTGGCGCCACTACCTGTGGATGGCCTCCTTGCCCGCCCTCGGCGTGCTCGTTTATCCGCTTCTGATCTGCGAGAGCGCTCAATGGTTGCTCACGAAGAAGAGATACGATCAAGCCGTGAAGTGCCTCAAGTGGGTGGCTAAATTCAATGGGCGTCAAGTGGAGGACTCTGTGTTCGACGAGTTCATCAAGCACTATCGAGAGAAGGTCATCGAGGAGGAGAAACATAGGAAGCACGAGGACACATTTATGGGCATGTTTAGAACACCGCGTCTACGACGATTCACCCTGACATTGCTGCTCAAATCGTAAGCTCCATCTGATCTGATCTGACTCGACTGTCATCTCATTGTATTCACTCCAAAACAGCGTCATTATTACACTATCCTACGATGTGATTAATCGCAATATGGAGGGCCTCGGCACATCGCCCTTTAAGCTTTTCTCTTACACCTCGATCAACTATTTGCCAGCCGGCTGCACCATTCTGCTGCTGCAAAATATAATCGGGCGCAAGGGCATGGCCTGCGGCGCGCTCCTGGTGGGCGGCATCATTACCACAGTGACGGGCTTCCTCATTGCCTTCCTGGACCCGAAGGAAAACGCTCTCCTGCTGGCCATCATGATCGGCTTGGGTCGCTATGGCTCGACCGTCTCCTACGATGCGGAGATTCAATACGCCGCCGAGATAATACCAACCAGTGTCCGAGGACGAGCCGTCTCCAACATTCATGTGATTGGCCTGGCCTCCAGCTCGTTGTCCTTCTACGTTATCTACTTGGCAAAGTTTTACAAGCCACTGCCGTCGATATTCATAAGTTGTCTCATGTTCCTTGGCGCTGGCCTCTGTCTGACGTTGCCGGAAACTCTACACAAGTAATTCCCATTACTTATCCAAAATTCCTAAAACCATTTAATAACTTTGCTCTCTGTTGTCTAGAAAACTTCCTGATACCCTGGCCGAAGGGGAACGCTTTGCGATGAACGAGAGCTGCTTGTATTTCCCGTGCATCAAGAAACATCGCGAAAGCCTAACCCCAAATGGCGATAACAAGTCTGATGCTTAGGTCTTTGCTTACCTAAATCAATGCACCTGAAACTGAATAAATAACCAAACCCTATAACCTGATGATGAGCTTAACGATATGTTAGTTCGTGCAACCGAATGGTCTGATAAGTATTACTCATGTAAAGAATGCATAGTAATTGGGATTTAGCCGTTAAATTTTATATACATGTATTTCACTTAATCTATTTTGATTTTAATTAAACTGAACTGAAAACCAACTTAATTTCCCTTATTTTCTACATCTATGAATCATATAGTTCATCAATATATATATTAATACTGTCGAATTGATTCATCTTTCCATCTCCTCTACTTGGCTACCTTTTCGTACTCATTGAAGTCATTGCCATTAACTTAATTAATTTATTTTTTATTAATTTTCTTTTTCACATTCAATATTCTTCGCTTTCGAAACTGGAGATTTATTACACAATATATGTATGTATGTATGAAAAATATAAAACGCTAATGGCTGTAGGCATGCTCCATTGCAAATCGAAAGAGACGCCGGAGCTCCAGAACTTGCGTCATTAAAATTTGAAAGATAAAAAGTCGTTGTGCTATTTCCCAAAGAAAATACTTTGGCATATTCAAATATACTGATAATACTAACAAGTAAGAAAGCTCCAGTCGAGACTGCTCGACTAGGAGATACCCTGAACCCTCCAAGCTGATATTCTAATTATACTGCACCTCTTTTATGCACACATACATACACATGCATCCACACGCACGCATAAGCCTGCGCTCGGACAGACGGACAGGGCTATATCGACTCAGCTCGTCACGCTGATCAAGAATATATATACTTTGTGGGTCTGACACGCCTCCTTCTGCCCGTTACATACTTTTTCACAAAACCATTATACCCTGATTTCCCATTTTCAATGGGTTCAGGGTATAAAAAGATTAACATGTGAATCGGCTTTATCCAGCCGAAAAATATCCTAAACAAACTCTGCGGATCTGATGATTTCCAATATCAACTAAAATAATAAAAACTTTTAATGTATGCAAAATCTAGATCAAAAGTTCAGCTCTCTCTCTCTCTCTAATCAAATAAAACTGAACAAATTTAATTCTCATATTAGAATCGAATAAAACATAATTTTATTTCGATTTGTATACATGTCGCTTTTTTTTTTTTTATTTGTTTAAATTGTTTCTAAAATTGTAGTTATTATCATATTTGCATTGAATCAAAATAAACTCTGCTTAATTATTACAGTAATACACTTATGTTTAGCTAATACATATTACATTGATGTAAATGTTTATAATAATAAGTATTCAATTCATTCAGTTAAGTGAAATTGTGCCGCTTATATGTTAACTTTGCGATTTTGATTCCCATTTCGGCTCCGAAAACTTACATACTTTTGGAAAATATTCTCAATAGCTTAATTTTGATTTAAGTTATGAGTTACTAAAGAATATGGTTGCTTACAGTCTATATAAGTATATAGGCCTACAATTTAAGACGTATATATACTTTATATTAATAATATACAYTCAATTGTATAGATAGATATATTTATGTATATAGATATATATGTATATATTCGTGTATAGATGTGTGTGTGTGCTTTAGCAAGAAATATTTATCGAAAACGTTCTATAGATACGTGAGCATAAAGTTTGTAAATTTTAAGTAATCTTTGAATAGTTATTTATGAGGTATTCACACAGCTAGCACTGCTTTAGATTTGTGTTTTATATAATAACTGCTGCATTATTAAGTCGAAAATTAATTAATTATTGAAATTCAGTATTGTTCAGCTGTCTACTTAGGGCTATTGTTATTATAGTTGCTTGATTGAAAGTGTTAAGTAGTGCTTGGTAAGGGGCCCATAGAAAATTGTTTAACTAAACTACAAGCTAGTCAGAGGCATTCGAGATTGGCTCAATGCTTTGCATCCTTGAGGGCCTGCTCCTCGCGATCGGCATCGATCAGCGATTGTTTGCGCTTGCTGTATTGCCCGGACTCCACCTGTTGCTTGGCATCAATGAGCGAATGCTTGCGTTTGTACTTTTCCATCTCAGAGTCGGAGTCATCGTCGTCGTTATGGTGCAGGCAGGGGAAGTCGAACATGCGTTCGCCCTTGCCGAACACCTCACCCTCCTCGATGGTGGTGGGAAGACTCCTGTCGAATCGAAAATAATCAAGAATTGAGCCGTTTGTTGGGCAACAACAGAATTCACACACTTACCGGTTGAGGGTCTCTGGCAGAAGCAGGCATACAAAGGAGCCGGCAAAGAAGAGCACACCCAATATGATTGAAGGAGCGGCCTTGAAGAACGTGCCCAGCCATAGGATGTAGGGCGCCAGGAAGGATGCCGCAAAGCCGGCCACATGCACCGCAGCCACGCCCTGGCCGCGCACACACGTGGGTATCAGTTCTGTCGCATACTGCGATCCCGACTCATACGAGATGGCCACGCCGAAACGCGCTGCGATCGTCAGGCAGGCCAACAAAATGGCATTGTGATTGTGCTGCTGATAGGCGATGGCAATGCCAGCGGCAGCCGTGAACAGGCCACCAACCAGCAGCGAGCCCGATGCCATGCCTTTGCGTCCGATGCGATCCTGGAGCAGCACCAGCAGAATACTTGAGGGTAACACCGCCAGGGCGCTTAGCGAGAACATGATGAAGGGCGAGATGCCCATGCCTTCCACATTACGCGACACGGCGTCGTAGCATAGTGTGATGACCATTCTGCAATACGCTGCGTATGAGTAATGTGTCAAGTCAGTGTTTTATCACTGTGATTACTTACGATTTGAAGAACAGAATCAGCGTGTTCTTGCGCATGCGTGGCGTCTTAAACATGTCCAACAGCGTCGCATGCTTCTTATCATCGCCGCCCTGCATCTCGCGGGTCATTTGGCAATGGCGCCTGAACTCATCGAATTCCGCCTGCGACACATGGCGACCATTGAATCTAGCGACGCGCTTGAGCCGCATTATCGCCCCATCGATGTCGTTGCGCGTCACCAGCCACTGGGCGCTCTCCTGCACCACAAAATAGTACAGCACCACCAGCAGAATGGGCAGCGATGTGCAGGCCAAGTAGATCTGCCAGTGGCCGGCCAGAACGGCCAGCCAGGGCGTGAACACCAGGCCCAGGCAATAGAATAGACCCACTGCCATATTCAGACCCAATGTGCGCATGCTGGGCCGTATATATTCGAGCACTGCAAAACAATAGAATGAAGATGATTAGCAAGAAAAAAAATATTGCTACGCATCCACCTACCTATAATATACATGAGATAAAAGTTGGTATCGGCCGCCAGACCCGATATGAAACGGCAGAGCGTAAATGTGGCCACACTCTTGGTAAAGATGGTAGAGAAATCGCCAGCAAAGCCGCAGAAGTTCGACAATATCAGGGCTGGCACACGTCCAATTTTATCAGACAACAGACCATAGAACAGCGTACCGACCACAGACCCAATGAAGAACAGCGACTGTCCAATGCGCGCCTTATACGCTGAGTCACAGACCCAGTTCAGCTGTTGATGGATTGGAAAGAAAATAAATAAATTAAATAAATAAACGCAAGTTCAATTTATGCGACTTTTAACAAACAACCAAAATGAATTAATT